GTAACATACCTGTTGCACACACAGACACATCAGCACACGTGTGACACAACACAAACGCAGCAACACACGTGTTACACACACGCACTCTCTCTCTCTCTCTCTCTGTCTCTAACGCACACACACACACACACACACACACACACACACACACACACACACACACACACAGAAGCATCCCTGTAAAACACTTAACGACAAATTCGGGCTTACATGCGTCAATAATCCGGACACCAACCCTCGACCACAGAGGATATCTTCGCAAATCCTTCACAGACTCAACCACACGCACACAAAGAATGCTAAAACACAATTTTAAAAATAAATACAATAAATATTACACAATTTACAGAAGATTTACGGCCCTGCGAGATCTCTTCTTCTTCTTCCAACAACGCCCGAGTGGTCGCTTTTTCTAACGAAATCTTCCTCCTTGGGTCAGAGTGCCACACACAGTCATGTCAAGTCTCCAAACAACACCGAAACGAATTAGATCTAGATTCTAGAATCTAGATCTAGATCCACTGAAAGTTTCTAAGGGAATCCCTCTGTCGATCTTTATCCCAGTCCGCACTGTAGTGTAGCCAGCCCAGGTAGGAACGCGAAAGTAAACTACTACTTGCACATCCACGAGCGACAAAAGACTAGCCAAGCAGGCGAGCAAGTGACGAACGAAAGACTGGCGGGGACGCGACATCCTGATCCGGATATCTTTATACGGGTCGTGTTTACCTCCTTACACCCCCCCCCCCTCCAATCCTCTCCCTCAGTTCCTCACATACATACCTCCCTTCCTTCCTCCTACCTCCTACCCTACCCCCGCTATCTGTCTTGTTGTGCCTACGAGAGATGTATGTGCGTGTGTGTTTGTGTGTGTTTGTGTGTGTTTGTGTGCGTGTGTGTGTGTGTGTGTGTATGTGTGTGTGTGTGTGTGCACGTACTGGTGTGTGTGAGTGAGTGCGTGCGTGGGTATACATATGTGTGTGCGTGCATGTGTGCATATTTGAGGGTGGGGATCAGTCAGTGTGTGTGTGCGCGCGTGCGTGTGTGTGTGTGTGTGTGCGTAAGAGAGAGAGAGAGA